CGTATGGCGAAAACTGCCGTTTCAAATTTTCTTTCAAACCTCGCTTTTGTCCGCTGAAATTCTAACCTAATCAAGTCGAAACGCCTGTCTGAATCTCTCTCAATCTCTATTTGGAGAGTGAAGCCAGCACGTGAGTTGCACTTTACACGATTACTTTTTCTGCTTGGATCAAAGCTCTCTGCCAAAGCGCGTCGCCATCAGAGCCTCGGTCACGTGTTCTAATCCTAACCGGTGTGTGACATTCAATCTCAGTTTGCCCAAACCAACCCGTTTCCGATCGTGCACACCACAAGCCACAATGGAATTCCAACAGACAACGTGGCTTAGCAACCAGTAAAGCGTAAGCAGAGTGACTAAACAACACGTACGCTCTGATCTTCACATACTAGTTTTTGTATAAAAGCAGATAACCACCATAATCGAGGTTCTGGATCTGCTTTTTTTTCGAAACTGGATTAAAGGAACACTTCTCAAAGGCAGTTCAACGCAATGGGAGTTGGATTGGCATGAGGGATTTCTCATTAGCGCAAAGGGCAATAAGGCAAACCGTATTGAGTTGAATTAGAACAGAATCGAATGGGAGAGAGAACGCTCGCAAACGGTCTAGGCGACAGGAGAACTGTATTTCCCTTATATTACCCAAACTCATGAACAGGCCGACGGGGATGAGATTATGGAACCCGAAGCATTAGGCGGATAGACGAGCACAAATGTGATCCAAGCATCCACCGAATCAATCAGTATCTGATCGATCGAGAAAATTGTGTTAGTTAACAAACCGCGATACACGCACAGACACGCACAGACAATCACGCACGCCTGACGGGCTCAACGTGAAAATGAAAACCGCATATGAGCATCCATTCTTCAACCAGTCTGAAATATACGAGTGCCAAAGATAAGGATGTCTAATCCGCTGATTCATTGATCTGCATGTAGTGAGGCGAACCGGGGGAGACAATTCAGACTCTAAAAGTCTTTCCCGTAAAGAGAAGATGGTTTACTCCAATATGCATTTCCAAAGTTTCTCATCGGTCTAGAATTTGAGAGTTGCTTCAATGGGGCGACCGAAATCGTACTCTGGTCATATTCTGACATCGTGAGCGGTTAGCCGAAAACCGATCGACCCTATAGAGCGACGAAACTTAGCGTTCAATTCCGGGACCGAATGATTCGATCCCGGTCCCGACTTGGAATTTGTATAAATGGATGAAATTACTCCTTCGGAGTAGTATTATTTGAACTTCACTGTGTTTTCTAATCCGATATCATAATCTAGCTAGACGCCTACATATTAACAGTCATAGGACGAAGTGATAAAACAGCGAGGGCAAAATGTAGAGAATAAATGAGAGCAAAACGTGAAGAGAGATCATCATGAGAAGACAGCCCATACACCTCTCAACTTTGCTCTATTGATTCTAACCATACACCTAATCAGTGACCATTCCCATACGTATATGATAGGTGGCACGCAGGTGGTTGTTCTATCATTGGAAAATCTTAGCATGAGCTGAACAATTACAAGTGGGCCCATTCACCTAAAGCGAATGAGTGACTGTTCACGGGCGAATGAACCGTCAAAGCATCCGCAATCCTTACACTGTGGCATCATAAAATTAAAATAAAATACCGGACCACTTTTGCTTTTCGATTGATTTCCTATATAT